AACTTTGTGGTATAGAACGTGTGAACCTTCGTTTGTATCAAATTTTCAGCAAAGTGGAGTATAATGCAAGTATGTATGCCACATTTCGACGAAATAATATGCGTTTGATGCAGAGAAGGAACTTTATTTGTTCGCTCAAAAAGATGAAGTCATAAATGAAGGAACACGGCGCACCTATTAGTAGGCCTCAGGTCCTTTTATTTAGCGCGAGTAAGCGTTAAGGCTTTGCTTTCGCTGCGTAAGCAGAGCTTCAAGTAAGACTAGGGCACTCTTTTCTGCTTCACCGAACAACACTTGCGTATACATACACATATGTCGCTGTAAATGCACCTATACTATACACATACTATCCAGATAATCACATTCAATATACTGAGTAAATTGGTAGACCTTGAGATTGATAAAATTACCGCAAGCACCGTAGTGTGATCAGTCATGGTGTCCACCACAAAATGAATAGCTTTGTTTTTTGTTGGATTAAATCTAGAAAAATACAAGGACATTCTGACAGCGGAATACTCCTTCTGTGTTGTTCTAACACAAATTTATCTAACTTTAATAACTTTATAGAAAAATATTACTCCACGATGACAAATAAATAAATAAGTGTAGTATTTGTTTTTTTAAACACAGTATAGAAACAGACATTCGTATGCACATGCGTACAAATCAGGACATTTCATCCTGAATTTAGTGAAACTGATTCGTTATTGTAGATGTTCAATGACGTTTTCATAAATTTGATCAAAGTAATGCAAATTCCAGTTAAAGTGAAACCAAAACAACCTACGTTTTTAAAGAAAACAACACAAAAAGGAACTGAGATGGGAAATTAAATAATAATAACTACTCCATAGTCAAACAGCAGAGCTGCACGCCTCCACCGACACCGACGTCACGTGGCACGGGAGACGGGATGTTTGAGTTTTCAGCTGCGCGTGTTTAGTTCAGGAATTTGGAATTTGGGGTTATCCTGTAGCACGTTCGTTTTTATTTGGTAATTAGTGTTTAAACATGGATTAATTAGGCTTAAAATGTTGGTCTCGTAATTTCTCACCAAACTGTGTAATTAGTTTTTTTTTTCATCTATATTTAATGCTCCATACATAGGCTGTAAATATTTGATGTGATAAATACTATAGCACTTTTTGAAATTTTAGGTGGAACTAAACAAGCGCCGAGACATGTGTGTATGCTCTCCAGCTTTTGCAGCTGATTCAGTCCACGATTAAAATAAAGCAGGTCAGCATCGTTGGGCGAAAGAAGGGGAGGAAGCAACGTGACGTGCTGCCGTCGAGTCCACGCAACGTAACCAACCCCCTGATCCCGATCCACCGGACCTCGGAGGGTTTGGCTTGTGTGACCAGTGACTCGTGTGACCTGCACCGCACAACCAACGGAAGTGCATGCAAGCCGCAGGCCGCAAGCCGGGGAGAACGAAAACGAGAGGCGGCTGGTGGTGGTAGCGCGTCGCAGACGTACGAGCCCAAGTGCATGTTCGCTTGGCTCGTAAGTCAGAGCTGAAAGTACCGGCTCCGTTTTGATGATATGGTTATAGAGGATTTTGGATGGTTTAGAGGAATTTTAGAAAAATTTGTGAGAGAAAAATATTGTTTTAGATAAAAAAAAGAAGCGGATCAAACCGGGTTTAAGGGCACATGAACAGAGCCACTGTTGGCTTATTTATCGTGAGAGAAAAATATTATTCGTTAGTTAAAAAAATACGATTTACATGTTAAGTGAACAGGGGCTTGTTTAGTTTCCCTCCAAAACTTCAAAATTTTCAAGATTCTCCGTCACATCGAATCTTTGGACACATGCATGAAGCATTAAATATAAATAAAAAATAAAACTAATTACACAGTTTAGACAAAATCCACGAGAAGAATCTTTTAAGCCTAATTAGACTATGATTAGACACTAATTGCTAAATAACAACGAAAACGCTATAGTAGCGTTTTTGCCAAAAATTTTAACAGGCCCAGACCAAAAATCTGCGACAGGAACAAGCTTTGTAACGCGTGCACCAGACCAGTAGGGTGCATGTGATGCCCACCCGACCGTGTTCAATCAATTATATCGTCGTCTCCTACCGAGTAGGTATAACCGCAGAATAGCACTTTTTTGGCAAAAGTGGCCGCTCACGCTCACCCGTGAAGTCAAAACAGTCGTCCTGGATTGTACTCACTCGACTGTACATTGTTATTTATGTTAAAATTTAACTTATATTGTTATTTATGTTAAAATAATGTGAGAGAAAAACATTATTTTATAATAAAAAAATATTTCTAAATAAGCTCAAACGAGCAGAAACGAGGTTGCCCTTACAAGTTACAACCCTGATGAGCCTGTCTCGTCAAGTGATGAGCCAGCCATGTGACTGTACGAATGTACTCTGTTCAAGAAAGAAAATGTCACTCTCATTTTGGAAGATGTACTTCTTAGTTAAAAAAAATACAATTATCATTTTTAAAGAGTTAAATAGTTTTAAATTTACATCTATAAAAATAATAACATATATAATATCAAATAAATATCATTAAATTAATCATGAAATATATTTTTGTAGTATATCTATTTTGAGCTATAAATATTGATAATATTTTATATAATTAAAATTAAGAAAGCTTGACTCAATCTAAATCCAAAATTACATCTTTTGGAGGCAGAGGTTGTACTATATTAGTAGTAGTGTAGGGGTGTTAGTGATTTACCTATATATGTTTTTGTTAGCATGCATAGAATAGTCTACCCTTCTCCACACAAAATGAGTCTCTATCTCCATTTGCTTGACCTAGTTGACTTAGACGTGTATGTTTAAAGGGTAACTGTTGAGTTTTAAGCGCCGTAGAATCCACCAGCTATATTGTTTTTTGTAACAAATTATTTTTAGTTAGAAATCTACGCCTCTTTCAAGGCACGTAATTAGACACTTTAGCAGCTCTACTGTTAAAATTTGATCAACGAGTAAATGAAAATAGGGATTTGAAACAAAGAAATTGCATACGGGTTTTTCTTTCCTGATAAAGACATATGAGTTTAAAGGGCACATAGAATTATAGAAACAGTGAAAGATCTTTGTGTTTCACAGTAACGATTTCAAATATGACTTGTTGCTACGTGAGACGACCCATTGGTCTTATAGGAGCTCTAGCGATTTCAAATATAGATTTTTTGGTAGATGACCAGAGTCACTAGATTGCTATAAAACTCAAATGCATGCACTAAAGGATTATTACTTGAAGATGTGATAGGGGAAATTAATACCTACCTTGTCCGTTTTGTCAATTTAGATGCCTTGGTATAGAATCTTGGTTGTTGAATGGTAACATGTCATCTATGTGCAGCTGCTCACCGAATGCAGCTTATCCGGATCCAGCCTATCATAGCGACTAAGCTCCACTACCAGCTGACAGCAACGCTGACAATCCGGTTGAACTGGATGCCCAAAGAACTGAAGCTGAAATTGCCATGTCAAATGACATTTCTGTCCCTCCCTCACTCACCAGCCTTTTCGGTTTGCTCAATGATTAGCTTCCTCTCGTCAAATAAGGGCAGTCCCAATGGTGTATTGATGATGGTTTCTATCCTTATTAAATAACTTGCCACGTAGACAAAACGCTGATATAGCAACGTAATTAATGAAGAAAGAGAGCAAAAATCATAGAAATGGTTTCCTCATAAAGAAATCAGGTCTACTTTTGACCCAATGCACCAAAAAACCATGAAATCGTTATTGGGGAGAAACCACCAGTTTCTAGGGAGCTCGTGTCGCACTCCCATTGGAGGAAGAAGATAGAGTTGGGAGAGAGAAAGAAAAAATAATTATTACTCATAGAAACCATGGGTTGGAAAGCAATATTTTTTTTTGATACGGTATCCTACGTTATAGAAACTATTAGTTTCTTTCATTGGGACTGCCCTAATAGCTCTGTCTTCTTGGTCTGAGGATGGAAAAAAACAACAAGCTGTGTGTCTTCGCACAAAATGATTTCTCAACCAGCAGATTAAGCACTTAATGCTGGTGTGTTAACCAAGGCGCAAACGTTAATCAAAATCCAGAGGGTGGTTGCAAATGAGGCAACCGGACAGCAAAAGGCTCGGACGGATGGTGGCAGTGGCACGCCGCAGCTACCTCTCCCCTCCCCCTCGCCACCAAGGCCAACAGCCCAACGAGCGCGCACCACCCAAGAAATGGAGCTGAGCTTCCCCCTCCTCCTCGCCGCCTCCCAAGCTCCTGCTCCGCGCGCGTAGCCGCACCGCACCTCCCAGTCCTAAACACGCCCGCGGACTCCGCTCCCCGCGCTAGGTAATAGCCCCTGCTCTGCTGGCCCCCGGCGCGGATCGTTTGTTGGCGTTTGTTTCTTGAGCCGTCTGGTTTGTTCTGTTTTCCCTCCATTTTTTCCTGGTGGGGTTGGGTTGAGTACTTGAGTTGACCCTCTCTGACGGATCTTAGGCTTTAGGCTTTACCGCTTTCCTGCGATTTGGGGGATTTCTTGTTCTCGGGTTCTTGTCGTCGGTGGGCGTTTCTTGATGTATCGAGTCTCTGTGCTGTCACCATTTGGTGGCAGGTTACAGGTTAGGTACATTGCCTTTGCGTACCATGTGGCGCTTCGGTTTGGTGTTGCTGTGCCTGTGCATGGAGATCTACTTGTGTCACCGACACCGAACCGACCTGAAATTTCTTGTAGTATTTGTGCCATGACGACTTGCTTTAGAGTTTGCTGGTGTGATCATTGACACGGTTTGCTTGGGCAATGGCATGTGCTTTGTCCTTTTGATAGCCATCGAGTTTTATGGGGGATGTAAATGTTGGACCAAGTTGCTAATACCTGTTACGAAATGCTGCTGATCAATCAGCATTAAAAACTGTGTTCCTAGGGCGATTTTGGTAGGTGTTTGAGAGCTCCGCAAGATCCAGTTTTAGCAATTGTTCTTTCGATGTCGGTTGATCTTAGTACATGTCTTGTGGTGGTGCAGGTGCTGTTTGAGCCGTGAAGATGGCGGCGGTGACTGCTTACATGTATCAAGCTCAGGCGTTGATGAGGGACTACTTGCTAGCTGATCCACTCGTTCCGTACACCTCTGTGCTCATTGGCATTGTCCTCTGCAAGATGGTAGGTTGATTTACTGTTCCGATGCCCAAGTGATTGACTTATGGTTCACGATTGCATTGGGTAATCGAACTTGATGTGAATGCTGATCCATGCTTGTAGCTTACTCGTTTGCCCAGGATGATACCTTCTTAGAGATTATTTACACCAAATGGAAGACTTTTTCTACTAACCCAAATGAGTAACATCAGCTTGTACCCAATGGTGTGAAAGGCTAACTACCATGGATACGAGTGACTAGTTGCTGGCTTATTAATTGAAAGGAGACGAACTGAGCTTACAATATTCTAAATGTAGTTTTTGTCTCCCATATTCTCGGTTCAGTTATTGTACTATCAATAGTTTTGCTGCTAACTGTAATTCCCTAACCAGCAATGTTGACTGAACATGTTGACTTTCTCCCTTGCAAGGCTTATCAATAGAGAGGAAATGAAATGCAACCACAATTAATGGTTCCTTCTTTTAAACCATTGACCATTGATTCTAATGTAACTTCATCGCCAACGTTGTTGACAACCTTCAGACCTCGCACTCTCACTTAAGTTGTTGTACTGTTGATGAATTAATGCTAACTGTAATTTCCTAACCAGCAATGTTGACTGAGCACTTTGATTTTTGACATAAAGATATACTCGAACAAGTTTTAAACAAGTGGTTTAAATCAGTTTGCCCAAAGTTGAGCAATGCTGAGTCCACTATATCATCCATTTCATGTTATAGAGGACAAAGAAAACATGTGGCGTCAGTTATAACCATTATCCAACTCCCGCCATCCTTTGGTAACAACAAAACAACCTTCTAGAGTAATTTCAGTATGTGACAGAATATATGGCTGCAGACTTCTGGACCTTGTGTGCCACGTAATAAGTTCTTAATTATTTATAGCCATGCTTCTAGTTTGTTGTTTTGACAAATGACATGCTTTCTCCTTCAGGCTTATGATTTCACTCGAATACTGAGCTCCTTTTATTTCAAGGGCTATACTTCATTGACAAAAATACAGCGCATCGAATGGAACAATAGGTCAGTATCGTGTCAAAGCTAGTACACCTATTACTCATATCCCATCTTTCATTTCAGAAACTTCATGCTGATGACCAATTATACTTGTTTTAGGGGTATGTCCAGCGCACATGCAATTTTTATCACGGCTGTATCATTATATCTTGTCATGTCGACTGATCTTTTCTCCGACCGCATCAAGGGACCTATTACATTCCGTAATTCAATAATATCCACTTCTGCATTAGGGGTATTGAATATCATTTATTATGATACATCCGCATTTCTTTTATTCTTTATATGATGTACTTACATTTCATGTTTGAGTTAACATAGTTGTGTCCTGGATGTATTGCTTGACAGGTTTCTGTTGGCTACTTCATCACTGATCTTGCAATGATCTTCTGGCTGTATCCTTCCCTTGGTGGAATGGAATATGTAGGTGCCAACTTAAGCATTAAACTATGTGCACAACAACCAATATTCATAAATTAGCCTGATTTAACATAACATTTTCTTCAGAATAAGTTCACATGCCACCAGTTTCCCAATATGTTAGAATATTCTGAGGTGGGCTAGCATTATCTTATGGTTATGTGTTTGCCATTTCAGGTCCTCCACCATACTCTTTCCTTGGTTGCGATAGCTTACACGATGTTGTCTGGGGAAGGACAGTTTTACACATACATGGTTCTCATTTCAGAGACAACCACCCCTGAGATCAACTTGAGATGGTAAGAAATTGAATAGTTTTTTTTTTCTTAAAGTTAATTCTTAATCATCAACATTATTTGATTATAATGTTGTTCTTTTCTTTTAAGGTTTCTTGACACTGCTGGACTGAAGAAATCAAATGCTTATTTGATTAATGGAATTCTGATGTTTGTTGTATGGCTGGTATGCACCATTTAGTATAGTATTTCTTGAATTGAAAAGAGCTTTTCTTTCCTTTTTTTCACAGTTAACGATTGTTTGTTGGAAACATAATGCTATTGTCTGTGTGAAGCTTCGATATGCAAAACCAAAAATTGCCGGAGATATAAGAAAAGAACACATGAAATGTAGTCATATCTATTAAATAAAGTACGGGGGAAAGGGGAATATATGAGCTTGTGAGTCACCGCAGCCATATAATCACATTTTTATTTGAAAATGCCTTCTTTTTATATTAGACATGAATTTTGAATTGTCTCAGCAATTGTTGTACTACGATGTTTTTTTTAACATCATTTACCTGGCTAACCATTTCGTAGACGAGATTCATTTTCCCTGATGTTGGTGCTGCTGGCTCATCATAGCATTTGTTCATATTTCCTTCAGGTGGCAAGGATATTTTTGTTCGTGTATGTATTTTACCACATCTATTTGCACTACAGTCAGGTACTAAGATCTTCATTCCAAATGTATTCCATCTGTTTTATACAATTATACTCAAGTATAAACATCTTTCTCTCTTTGTGATCTGACACTTAACTACAGATAATGCAGATGCATGCCTTTGGGTACTACTTGACATTTGTTGTGCCATCAGTGCTCTTTGTAATGAACACAATGTGGTTCATGAAGATCTTAAAAGGTGTGATGAAAACACTGGCAAAATGGCCATGATGTATGACGCCAAGAGGATCCCAGAAATATCAACAGGATCCCAGAAACATCAACAGGATTTGGTCTTTCTGGCATCACTGTGACCTTAATCTGTAAAGTTATGGATATCAAAGTAACTAGAGAAAGTTAATATGTAAAGTATTAGCAAACAAGCTAGATTAGGTGAAAATGCGTTTTTAGCAAAGCTGGAAGTTCATAACCAGTTTGGTTTGTACCGGAGATCCAGCACGATGTTCTGCTTACCCCATCTGTGCCATGTGTATATCTGAAGAGGGGCTTCGCTGAAAAAAAGCTGAAACACTGTTTCGGTTGATTTGTAGTGAAAGAAAAATATTGTTCCGAATGAAAAAATAAGCTGAAAAGTACGGATTATAACACAAGCGAACAAATACAATCACGGTGCTTTGTACTTAGCTTTTGTGATATTCAGTAGTACCCACGACAATACAATTATCCTCAAAATTACTGTTTTGGAAACTGGCAATGCGCCATTTACAAAGGAAACATTGTTAACAGGACATTTTTCTTTTCTTGGTTGCGGCAGCAGTGAACTGTAGCTGAATTTACCGTGCTTTACAAAGTCAGTAGGAACTCAACGGTGGATATAGCATCCGTTCAGTAACCAACTTAAAAACTTAAATAAAAGAGTAAATTGCACGGCCGATCCTTAAAGTATTCGATGGTTCTCATTTGGGTCCCCAAACTATGAAATCGCACGTTTGGTTACCTAATGTATTTAAGTGATCTTATCCAGGTCCAAATTAGACACGAGAAAGATTAGAAGTTGACGTGATCATCCACGTGGACATGATTTGAACAGAAAACACATGAGACATGCAACGTCCCCATCTGGGTCCCCGGCAGTGCTCGTCGGGCGAGCACGCGATCACGTTCACCGCGAGGGTGATGAGCATGTGCTCCTGGACATGCAACGACAGCTCAGAGCGTGTGCACCCGCGCCGCACGCCCAGCAGTAGGTAGTAGTCGACGTTGCATGCCTCACCGCGGCGCAACGCGCCGCGTAGCCCCGGATGCGGACGTCGGATTTGTGTTTTAGGTGCGCGGCCGGCAATCTCGCTGGTACCAAGACGCCGCCGCTGCCGCCACCGCCTCCCCGGAGCTTGCCGTCGCGAGCGCGCTGGTCAGACAGAGCTTGTGGTGGTCAAGGTCACGGAGGCGTCGGCGAGCGTGCCCACAATTTGGAGGAGGTCGGGCGCGCACGGAGCGCGCAGCATGTAGGCGGTGGTCGGCGGCGAAGCGACGACGATCCGCGATGGCGTCGGCCAGACGGCCACCGGCCCGAACGCGGCGGCGCGGCCGACGAGGCAGGCGGCGGCGGCAACAGGAAGCGGCAAAGACGCCACGGCGTGCCTCGAGGATCTTGGTGAAATGGCGACTGACCTCGGCGGGAGGCCGACATCCGCCACGCATGGCCATGGCAGCAAGGCGCGCCGGAGCAGAGCTTCACGGCGCCAGAGGCTGGGACACGCCTCCGACTCCATCGCCGGGATTATGAATGCCGAACCGGACTTGGATGTTTTGCCGAACGGGACGGAGGGAGGGAGCGGCGGCGGCGGCGACGAACAGAAGCCGTCGTCCGACCAAAGACACGCCTCGCCATGAACACGGCGAAGCGAGGCGGCGGCGGTCTGGAGCAGCACCATAGCATCCTCAATGAGGCCGAGGTGGAAGCATGCTTGCCCCTGGACCAAGTACCTGTAGATGGGTAACAACCATTAGGAAACCCGGTCGGATTCGCGAAATCAAGACACCAGTTCGTAATGCAAGCTTTGACTTTTGCACCCCCACTTTGGGTGTCCGTGTTTGGGTTCTTGGAGAGGCCGGCAAGGACACGGCGCTTGAGCTCGGAGATATCGGGCGGCGGAAGGAGCGGACAGGCGGAAGGCCAGTTCGCGGTCGTCGGAGCGGTGGCGGTCGGGCGAGAGGAGCTTGGCATGGGAAATCGCGGGCGAGGTCACCGGAGCCGGTGGATAGGAGGGACGCCGACGAGGACGAAGAGGTGTCTCGCCAGAGCACAACTTGCCGAAGCTGGGGATGTAATCGCGAGCATCTCCGCGACCTCCTCAGAAAGCGCCGCATCGAGGAGAGAGCGCGCGCAGCTCAAATAGCGATCAGCGAGGGCGGCGATCATCGACGTCTTCGCGCCGCTGCCGCGTTGATTCGTTGATGGCCGGTAGGGACGGGAACTCCGGTCCGGTGCTGCCCCACCGGAGGATGCCGCCGCGTCGTCGGCGTACTCCAAAGACGGCAAGGTTTGCAGTCTTTGTTGTTGAAGATGACGAACGGGTTGTTGGGGCAAAGCAGCCGCCGCGCTGCCATGTAGTACCGGTGTTCAGCAGCCCCACGCGAGGCGCGGTCGGCCGTGGAGCAGAAGAGCAGCCCATGCCAGCGCGATCGCTCCGGGTCCCGCCGAGGAAGACCAAAGAAGCGGCTCCGAGTAGAGCTAGAGGAGGGAGACGACGGCGGAGGCGCCGCCGAGGTGAGCAGGAAGCCTGCAGGTGCACGCCCATCGTCTGGTACGCCCGCGCGTCGTACCCTTGCCCGCACAAGGTCTCCAATGACCCGCTCAGCGTGGCGGCGGCGAGCTGCAGGTCGCCGAGGCGGCCGGCGAACATGACGGACACGAGCGGGATGGCGTAGTAGGCCATGCTGGTGGCCACCATGGGTGTCCACTTCCCTATGCGTACACGGACGTCAAGTCGCGACCTCCTCCGTTAGTCCGAGCACAAGCACTCCCCAACGGCGACCCGCGCTTGAGCAGAGCGGCGGCGCTCGCCCATGTGGCTCGCGCGACGAGGCGAGAAGCGGCGTGTTTCGCCACGCGCGGCTGCTCGCTGTGGTCAACGTGGTGGACGCCGAGGGACTCCTGGAGGACCAGAGCAGCGACGACGCAGCAGTGCTGTTGGCCGTCGTGTCGTTGAGGACCAGAGCAGCGGCGACGCTGCAGCCGCTCATGTGGGCGCTCGCGCGGGACACCGGGCGGACCGGCTGTTGGGCCATGGCGCTCAAGGACGCGTGGCTGGAACGCGTGACCAAGTGCAGCACCTGCTCATGCAAATCCGTGGGAGTGAACACTGGGTACCGTGGGACCCTCGGCTCGGGTCTTTATGTTCTAATCATGTCCACGTGGACGACCACTTCAGCTTCTAACCCTCCTTATGTCTATTTTGGACCTAGATGAGATCACTTAAATACATTAGGTAGCCAAACGTGCGATTTTATAGTTTGGTGACCCAGATGAAAACCACTCAATACTTTAAGGACCGGCCGTGCAATTTACTTTAAATAAAACTCCACCTTGTATATATGCAAATTTGAGAACTTAAGGAGGGGCACAATCAAATTATAAGAGCACAATCAACACTTCGGTAACACTTCTGTCCATGCAGTGACATTCTAGTATTGGCATTTACATGACAAACATGTGAAAAGAAACGAGGAGCAGAAGGGGAGCACATCGGCCTGGAAGACAGCCACACAGGCGAGATGGGATATTTTGCTTGACCTCCTCTGATACATTTCATAACAGCACTATGAGGTTGAAACATAGCTTCAAGAGCAGCATGAAGAAGAGCTGACCATCCTCTCGTCTGGTCTCTGATTCAGAACCATTCCAGCTTGTGGGCTTGGAGCCTGTTGCCCTTGAAGCAATCTCTTTGCTGCAATGGGAACAGATGACAATTAATGTGTAAAAAGTTAGATAGTACTACAGCTTAAAGATCCACCTGTACAACTGATTTCAGCCCATGGACTGCCCACACTAGGACGGTACTCAACTCACCAATCTCATAAAATATGTCATTCACATTGATTGCAGTTTTAGCAGATGTCTCCATGAAGAAGAGCCCATTCTCCTGGGCATACGTCTTTGCTTCCTGCATCAAACCAACACCGTGCACACAAATCAACAAAATTGAACTGACTGTAACACCCATAGGCTACATCAAGCAAGCAAGATTTTACAAACAACATGAAGTTGGCAGCATAGCTGAGCTATACTTAATAATAGCATGACTCTTAACCATATATACTTCATTCATATTGATGCAGCAAACTAAACAAAGAATGCAGATATGCGAATCTTAGAATAGAAGTTAAGATATGCGACAGTACATCTAGTGCGGTATGATTTCTTTTGTAAAGAGCTTTTAAAGAACAAAAATAGGCAGGCTGCATTAAAATCCACTCCCAACCAGGTTTATTATAGTGTGGCCAAACTGTCATACACACACAAAAAAAAGCATGACACGGTGATGAGTACATGCACTGCTATAGTGGAAAAGAAGACCTTAATGACTAATTGGTTACATATAGTTTCATATAAGGTAACTAATTAGTAACTACACATATTAGAGATAAGATAGTGTGGAATGAATGTGGAAAGGAGGAAAGACAGGGAAGAAGGAATCGCATACCTCTGCTGGCACCTGCCTCGCATCTAGCATATCAGCCTTGTTTCCAGCAAGAGCCACTATTGTATTCGGATTTCCTACACCAAAGCAAAGGGAAAAAAACATTACTTGTGTATCAACAACCTATATAACTATCAATTCGCTTGGTTTTGCTGCCCATTCACATTTTCATTAACCATACCCAAAAACTCAAACATGAAATGGGCGGTAAGGGAAATCAAGTGCTGAGGGAAAAATAAATTCACAACAGTGTAAACAAGGAAATGCACTAACTCTATTTCTTCCTAAATGATTTAGCAGTGCAGGAACTATGAAATTAAAAAAAAATAGCATACATGGAGCATCATACAAGGGGTAAATTAAATGAACAAGTACAGGTTGAAAAAGTTAGACTGGAGAGATTAATTTTTTTTTCTCGAATGCACAGGAGCTGTGCGTTACTGCATTAATTAAGGGGGGGAAAGTCCTAGAAATACAACACACAGCAAACTTTCAAAGTTACAGACGTGCCACTGAAAAAAGGAACAAAATGACCAACTGAACCTGCAATCCACTGCATTAAATCCA